TTTTTTTTTTTTGCTTTTAACCTATCTTAATCCCAGCATATAATGGAGATCAAGAGGCTCTCCCATAGGGAGAAACAGACAACCAGTCACACTCACATCTGTTAGGGTATGTGGTCTGTTGACCCAGTGTTTTGAATTAATGGTTTTTTGAATCTTTATTTGTCTTTATGTTCTCTCTGTATCTTATGTTTCCTAGTTCAGATTTCTTACGATCTTGAGTTTATCCATATTTCTAGTTTCCCATTGTTACCAGTTTTTCCTGTTGTGCCTGCCACACAGTGTTTCCTGACAATGTCAAGCAGCAACCTGCATTTCTACTAATGCCGCTTCAAACTGGCTACAAAAATCAATCCCTACAGATTTCTATTTTAAAATATCCATATTTACAGCAACTATTATTTACAGTCTTGTACAAAAGACAGTTTGTATGAGGCTGATTCTTTAAAATGTTGTCACTTGGACAAATAAATATTACTTTAATATAACATACAAAATTCTGTGCCTGTATTTGTTTCATTGTCTGCCAACTACTACTATAAGACCACAAGTCAAGCAACCACAAAGGGCAGACAGCTTAAGCTTTGGAAGGTCATCTGTATCACATATTATCATATCATCATGTCACCCAGCCAATAGCAGGAATAGGCTGAACAATAGCATACATTGATGTACTAGTATTATAAATTAATAACATTGTTTATCTTCTTTTCACTTTTTGCCCCTGCATCTCTAACCTAATTTGTCTTGAAAAGGTTTTAACGAAAGTACAGAACTGCTGGCTGAACAAGTCATTAATGATCTGCTAACACTATTTTTTTTTCAGTGGTTTACAGCATTTAGCAAAAATCCTCACCATCTGAATTTTAAACAACTTAGTATTCTTTCTCTTTGCTTAGCAGTCAACAAGCTCTGTTTACACTGCCTCCCAAATTCAAACCCATGAGAAACTGTGCACTCATATTTTACCAGTGGGAGTGCTGCGGCTTTGAGTGCAATGAAAGGAACAAAGGACAAAGTAGAAAGGAAGTCAGAAATATGAGTCTTATTAAAAGACATTAATTGTGATTGTATACAGGAGTTCAACTCAAAGGTGGAAAGTGATTGTGTTCTAACTTTTAGTCCTCTTTTATTTTCTAAAAACATCAGAGTTTCCACCTAGTGGAAAGAAAAGAGTGAGATACTGAGGAGGATTTTTCCAATTTCCTACTCAAAGAGGAGTAGGAAAATGCCTAATCACATTTTACTCAATATTATAGCCATGAAAAAGTTTGCATGGTTTTAATGCAAACTACTCCACATGAGATATTTAGTCTTCAAGCACAATAACTTATTTTAGAATGTGAGTATGCGAGTCAACATACACACAGAAGCTAAAGTCTTAATTTATGAACTCAGTAACTAACAATATAATGATGTATTCTCCTCTCATGCTGTAATACCAGGTGTAGATGTTTATTTCTTGCTTCTTTTGGAAATGAGAAGTGTGAATGGAGAGAGATAGTGGGGAGATTATTCATAAAGTGCACACCAAAATACCTCATTTTATGCCTGGATATTCCACAGGTTCAAAAATAGGCAGTAGATAATGTTGGGTTTTATGGATTCATAAAGCCTGATACTATCTACAGCACATAACTGTATTATGTGCAGTTTTTGTTTCATTTATGACACAAAAACTGCTCAAGTTCACTCTGCTTCTTCTGCTACTTGCTGCCCTTCTTAAACTCCCTAGAGAAGTTTTTTTTTTTTAAACTGGCCTCTATGACCATGGATATTTCATGCACGCGTGTACGTTGACCTCCAAAAATGAAATTAGGTTACCATATTGTTTTAAGTGCTACATTCCCCAAAAACATCTAGGGCAAGGGGGTCAAACGTACATATATCAGTTATTAATGGCCAAATCTCCAGCCCAGCAAAAAATCCATGCAGGTAGGGATAGGACTTTATTTTAATGGGAGCACCATGTGGCCAGTCATATGCAAAGACAGACACACATTTGTATGAAAGAAGAAAGGGGCGAAGACATTTCAAGAAAGCAAGTGCAGTAGTACAGATCAGGTACACAATGCAAGTGTGTCAGAAAAAAGTGAAGAAACAAGCAAAAACATAAAAATGTAAATTTGTCAAAAGACAAAGCAGCAATAATTTCCATTCTTTTTAGCAATGAATAAATAAATAGATTTAGCTACAGTGATGATAGTGCATATGTGCCATATGTGCGTTCCACAGACATAATTCTTTTTAGGTAGTTACTAATACTTTTACTGCACTAAATAATGATAATATGATAACTAATGGTATCCACTCAGCAGAGAACACCATGATAACAGCTGTGTGTAGTATTTTTTTTAACTGTTTTGTAGTTCTTCTTTAATTACACAAGATTGCTCAATCAAAGCAAAGCAACATTGCATTAGCAGAAAATTATTGAATAATATCTGTCTGTGTTGATACAGTTTCAATTAGTCAATGCTCCACTGGACTCTGCTTTCTACAAGTAAAAAGGACATATATATATATATATAGACATACATACATACATACATACATACGTATACATATACACAGGGGTGCACATAAGTGGTCCGCAGGTGCACATTCACTGTCAAAATAAAAGACGCACACCAGATAAGAAGTTGCAATGCGCGTTTGCGTACATAAGACTTTCTGGAGGAAGACAGACATTTGTTTAGAACTCTTAAAGATGTCGAATAAGCAAGCT